GGTAAATCATAGTTTCTCAATTTCATATTTAAATAATTTCGTCATTCTTTTTAACAAAATATTAAATACTTCTTAGGAGTATTTATATAGCAAATGGTACCAATTACCAAATAAAAAGGTACTTGAACATCAAAACACTAGAACATAAAATACTAAAGCACCAATTATTGAGAGGAGTGGAAAAGGAATCCTAGTACCTAATATAATTATAGTTATATAACATCATTATAATAGTAGGAGTATTTATATAGCAAATGATACCATTTACCACATAAAAAGGTACTTCAACATAAAAAACTACATTAAAATACTAAAGCACCAATTATTGAGAGTAATGGAAAAGGAATCTAGTACCTAATATAATTATGGTTATATAACATAATTATAATAGTAGGAGGATTTATATAGCAGATGATACCATTTAAAGGTAAAAATTGCACGGGGCGCTTTATTTGGTCGCCCCCATATAACCTATACCCATATTTTTAAAATTATTTAATCTATACCCTAATTTTTATAACTTCAGGCGTCTCTTTTTCCTACCTGTGCGCTCCTTTCTTCCTTCTTTCTTTTCCTCTTCCGTAAATGAAACTCTCATGTTTTGCCTAGCTGACCAAGGCGACGCTTTTCGGGGGATTTGCAGAAAGTTATTTATTAGTACCAAGTTACCACAGTTGAAAACTACTCCATGACTATCCTACCTCACCCTAAATAAGATATGTGTACATATGGATTCTGAATACTATCACATGGCTACCCAATTGAGCTGTAAAGAAACTAATTATAGAACAAAACTTTAGCTAAAATATGCTGAAGTTCAGCAAATAGATAACAAAATTTCAGTTAGTATAATAGTTAAGTTCCGCAATTACAAACAAAAACTTCAGCTAACACTAAGGTTACGCGAAAAACTTCAGCTAAAACATGTTGAAGTTCAGCAAATAGAGAACAAAACTTCAGCTAACAGAATGCTTAAGTTCAGCAATTACAAACAACTTCAGGCTCGTCTGCTAGAATGCTGAAGTTTGCGTGATTGCCTTTGCTACTTCAGGCCCGTAAGCCTGAAGTTTACGCGAAAAGTGAGTACGCTTACAATTTTTTTTTGCAAAGCGGGTATAAGTTAAAACGTGACCCAAAAAGCGGGTATAGATGCAAATCCCCCCATTTAAAGTGGTATTATCACTTTTAACCTCCGCTAGAAATTATTTACATTCGTTAGCCGAAAAAGTGTATCAAAATTGTATAATTTTTGTATTAACATATAGCATGTATATATATACAAATAATATACAAAAATTATATAATTTTTATGGTTATTATTTTAAGAGTAGGTATACAGTGACATTTTTCCATATAAAAAGTAATTGAACACAAAACACTAGTACATAAAATACTAAAGCCCCAATAATTGAGAGGAGTGGAAAAGGAATCCTAGTACCTAATACAATTATAGTTCTATAACATAATTAAAATACACGAATATAATATAATATAACATTACTAATTTTCCTACCTAAAGACCTGCTCAAGCCAATGCTGTTGCAGTCAAATGTTTTATTTTTTATTTTTTTAATTACAGGACACCACGTAGGAGGTATTCAAAGTCAATTTTAGACTGTTATTTGCACGCTCACAAGACTTTCAACTTTCAAGGGATAACTCGATTGAAGACTATCCAATTCGAAACCCACGTGAGACGAGTTATTAGAATGTTTAGAATTAAGACAGGCAAATGCAGTTGTCATTTACTACGTTTTGATGACACGGGGATGAAACAAAGAGTCCTTATATTTAGCGGCGGAGCAAGAATTTTCATTAACGGGTGTCAAAATGTAAATAATTAGATACATTGAAAAGTCAAGTTGAGTCAACATATAGTAAATATACATAAAATTTAAAAAGTTATCTAGCAATATAGTGTAATTTTCCGGCGAAAGGGTGTCGCTTGACACCCCTTAGTTCAATATGGCTCCGCCACTGCCTATATCCTTGTAGTTAGTGGAGAACAACTATTAAATCGGATTTGTCGTAAAATTGAGATTATTTTATTTTTTCTTTATTGCATCTATACCATAAAATTTATTTTTGACGGAATAAAAAAAACATATGATAGACTCGTAACTATGGAATATGATCCTAATCGAAATGCATACATTTATATCCTATACTATAAAATCCTAGTGATCCTTTGAAAAAAAGCCGAATAGCCAATATAGACATATGTACTTGCACTGATCTGTGTTCCTGGCCTCCATACTCTACAAGGTTTAAACACCTTGGACCATTGACAAAGCTTATGTGGCGGTATAAAGTGCATGGTATACTGCGTAAAATCATGGAGTTAGGGGATTGGGATCGCAAATAAGTGCAAGTAGAAACATTTAATTGGTTGTTCGATCGTGTATAGGCAAAAAAAAATATCTTTGATATAGGCAAGTCACGTCAGCACCATGATAGCCTTAATCGGCTGCCACATGCTATCAGTAAGGTCTCAACAAAGATCTGCCCTAGGTCGAAGTAGCCCGAAGCGATGAAGGGTGCGGTCGAAGAGTCAGCAAAGATCAAGGTCGTGGGGTCATCGTAGATCAAGGTTGAGGTCGAGCATCTTAGACAGAGTTATAACGGCTAGTTTTAAGATATGACACAAAAGAGAATATTCTAGTGGATATTCTCTGCACCTGTAGTATTAAAGTTTCTAAAAACATGTTCCCTATAAATAGAAAGAGACACAATGATAGGGGGCATGAGATATTCACTTGTAAGAAAGTATATTAACTTTATAGAGAGAATCTTAAGAAGACGAAGATAACCTTTTTATTAATTCTTGTCTAAGCTTTTCTACTTGATCCAAGAACAACCTGAGTGTTCTAAGGCTCGTCAATCATTTATTATTGTCAGAAAAAATATTCATGGACCCCACCCCTTTTCAGGTGACTCACACGCTTTATTTACTTAAATGCCATGTATTTTGCTCACATTCATTATCACTTGGTCATTATCAATCATAAAACCGATAACCTTATCTTTTGGACATTATTATTAACTAAGATTGAATCGTTTTTATTTAAATCTAATTGGTTGAACCAAAATTTATATTTCTGGTCAAACAGATCGGTGTTTAAATTTTTTTTACAAATCCTAATATATGAAACTAAATCGAGTAATTTAGTGCTGGATACTCTGAATTATACAACAACAACATACTCAATTTTATCTCACACTGTGGGGTCTGGGGAAGGTAGTATGTACGCAGTCCTTACCCCTATCTTGTGAGGATAGAGAGGTTGTTTCCAATAGACCCTCGGCTCAGGAAAGCATAAGTACCACATTAATGAAAATATAGACAAGAAGGGATTACTTTGAATTATGTTTAATCTAAATATTAGTTGAAACTAGACATGTCCTTTTTCTTGTAAAACCTATTCCCTTAATTAATTCTCGAATTTTAACTTTGCCAATGCTAATAGGCCTCTTGTAGTTATTCCGATAATAGCGAGTTTGCATTCACGATTAGGAAACAGCTTACTCTAGGCGTCTTTAACACTACTTGGTGGATCTCATTTGTGGGGAAGAAACCATTACTTTCAGTCCACTAATGATTGTAGATTATCTATTTCCATTTTAATTAATTATCTAATCTAATCATTAATTGTTTATGATCTCGATTTTTCACTGATCTTAGCCTTCTTTTGTTTTGTAAGACTTCTCATGATCACTGAAATCAAAGAACTAAAGAAATACTTCAATTTTTTTAGATATTCTAGTATTGTGACCTCGATCAAAATTACCCTTGAGATAAATGAGAGACCTAAGTTCTCAACTAATTGATCATTATTTATCATATTTTCCTCGGAGAAAAACCATAAACAAAATTGGAGTAAAATAATTGAAGGTCGTGTGTTTCATATGCTAGAACTCAAGAGCAAATGTCTCACTAACTCCAACACATGAGGGATGAAATACTTGCGCTCTTCAAAAGAATTAATAGTCGTATACAGAGTCGTATCCAAGATTTATACTCTAAGGGTATAGCTTTTAAGATTTTTTCTTTAAATTCATGTAATCTTAAAGTTAGAAGTTCAAACCTACAATACAATTATTGCATTTTCTGTAAATTTTTGTACGTGTATTTATGTTCCGCATCAGAAGTACTACGTTTAGCTGAACTCGATCCCATTGCGTCCACCTCCAGTTATATAGTCCTCCTGGTTTTACTAGTTGACTCAAAGCTGAATATGGAGATTTAGCCCCCGTTTGACCATACATTTTGGCAAGTTTTTTTCAAAACTTTTTTGAAAACATTGTTTGTCCATAGATTAGTGATCTGTTTTTGAAAAATTTCTGAAAATATTTTTCAAATTTTCAAAATCTAGTTTATGGTAGATTTTGGANATATATATATATATTTAAAAGAGTTCTTCATTCAAAGTTGAATGTGAATTTTTAGTTTTTAAAATAAGTTCTTGATTCAAGGTTGAATATGGATGTATAATTAATTAAGGTTTGGTTTGCTGGCAAGACATCATTTTTCTTTTTAAATTTCTTTTGGTGCAAGGATTGGTCATGAGTAGTTGGGGTTCGGAAAGAATGTGTTAGAAGAGGAAATGATTTTTAGTATATTGAAATTAAACTGTAACCCTAGTTGTTGTAAGAAAATATGGTAACCTAGTTTTTGATTAAAAACTTTTAGTTATCAGTTTGATCATTTTAGAAAAGCAGTAAACAAAAATCTTAGCGCGCTTCAATCGGGAAGTACAAACCATACTTTTGGAATGAATTTTGATATAAAATACATCTGATGTTTTGGAATTGGAGGAAAAGGTGAAAATGACAAGAGAATAAAGCAGCTTCAAGTATTTGGATTGTGATATTTTTAATTTAGTTCCAATTCAAATTCTTGATCCAACCCCAAAGTAGACATATATAGTAGTACTCATATTGTAAACATAAAAGCATAATAAGTTACAACTCTCAACTAAGTTGAGGCAATGGCAACACAGCTAAAGAACTGCATTTGGTGAAGGAAGGGTTCCAGGGCTTAGAAGAATAGAAGAACACCATGCAAAAGAAGCAGGCGATAGAGGAAAATTAGCAAGTGGACTGCATGATCCAAATAGGTTTTCTGATAGATTTCGTGGCGTTACATGTGATCTTTCTTGTGCTTCATTTGTTGAGTCATTACATGCCACGCTAATTGATTCAACTTGGTTGTTTGAAGAGTAAGAAGGACGAAGGAACTCTCTCCATTCTGCAGCAATGTTATTTCTTGGTAATGAAACTGGTGAGAGATCAAGTGGAGGAGGAGCCACATCTTGTAAACGCCTCGAGCTGGAACTAGAACTAGAGCCAGAGCCAGAGCTAGAATTACTAGAGTTGGATTGAAACTCAGGTGCAGCAGTGAGCATTTGGACGACTTCCTTGAAATTAACAGGTTCGACTTTGTAGATTTTAGGAGGAGTTGGTGGCAATGGTGCAATTGGTTGTTTAGTCATTGGTTTTGATGGGAGCCTACGAACTCCATGAAGTGAGGAATGATATGAAGGTAATGGTTTATTTTTCTTTACTTCTTGTGGATATTTGGAATATGGAATAGAACTAGAGGAAGAGGAACAAGAATTAGAAGAAGAAGAAATAGCTGCATATGAATAAGAATCCATTTTAATTTTCTATGTTCCAAACTTTTGTGTAAGTTTGTCTTAGTAGGAATACATTTGCGGCTTTTGCATTTGCTTATATATATAGAGAGATCTTTTGTAAAAGGATACCTGAAAAAGATAGAAGATTAAAATAATTTAAAGGAAGAAGCAGAAGGAGAAGAAAACTGGACAAGTTTAATTGAAGGAATGAAATTTGTCTTAAGCGTCGGCTATGAGCTGAATAAGATGTAACATTACCACTTGGCATGTATGTCTAGTACTGTTCTTATTTGACCTCTATTATAAAACTGCCTCCTTTATTGTTTTTTTCTTACATATAGTTCTATTTTTAAAACTTAATCATTTAATATTCGGAATCTATTATTCGACTAATCCAAATTCTTACGGTGTAGAATCCATTTAAAGGAGAAACAAGTCATGACCATGTATTGTTTCTTTGGCCTAACAGACCTTACGGATTTGTCCCTTGGGCTACACCACATCGAGCCCCAAAAATGCGTATATCATACAATCTTGTGTTGTGCCTTATAAATCTCTTTACTTTCTATTCGGATTTACCTAAGATAACATGTGTATCTCTTTTTCAAAAGTTTACTAGCTTAGAAGCCTGTTGTCAGTCCTATTTGATCCGCCCTTCGCCCTCCGTTATGAACTCGAAGCTTGAGACGTCGGGCTAAGGGTAAAGGGATCCTATCTATCCCATTAATTTACTAATTAAGTCGCAAAATGTTAATTCTGTATCTAATTTTTTATATGAACTTTTAGCAATTATTTGGTAGGTGTTTAATGGTGGAGTAAGCTGATTGCTTAGCCGCCAGGCTCCTCTCCTCTGTGGCTTCTCCTTATGAAATAGTGTTTTTATGTAACTTTGTCTTTGCTGAAAAACATAGTTTAAAAAATTTATACAATCTAATAGTGATAGTATCATAGTGCTTGCTTCAGGTGTAAAGTGGACATTATTAGGTGAATTTAATATATATACACTTGTAATGCATTTCAACTTATTATAATATGTCAATTTTTTACTTTTTCATTTTGCTGTATTAGACGAGGGTCTCCTGGAAACAACCTCTCTGCCCCTCGGGGTAGAGGTAAGGTCTGCGTACATATTACCCTCCTCAAACCCCACTTGTGAGATTACACTGGGTTGTTGTTGTTGTTGTTGTTGTTGTTGTTGTTGTTCATTTTGCTGTATTACTAGTTTATATTTTATTGTAATGAGTTATCTATTATTGTAGTTCATCTTAACCTAACGAGTTTCTAAAAAAGTTATAGCTGTTTTGAGTTGAGGTTTGACCCTTACGCAGAGGGTTCTGATAGTGAAAATAGCATGAGTTAGCAAGTTTTCGGACTGGTAATTGAAAAATAGCGCAAACCCATTGAAAAAATAGCTACTATTTTGCTGCAACACGAAAAGTTCCAGCATAATATACCAAAAATTGGTGCATCTGTGTATGAACTTCCAACATATATGCTGGGACTCCAACATATAGAAAGTTCCAGCATAATATACTGGAGATTGGAGCACCTATATATGAACTTCCAGCATATTATGTTGGAATTCCAGTATATTATGCTTGAAAATCACATGTAAAAAATTCGAACTTCAGTATATTATGCTGGAATATTTTGCGGATTTTGAACAGTATTTTTGTTCAGATTTATCTTTACATTAAAAGTGGCTAAATTTATCTTACTTTTGAAACTGTGACTATTTTTCAATTTCTACTTGTAAATCTGGCTATTTTTGAATTTCGCCCGTTTTAATACCATATGCAACAACTCAATCTACTAGTGATATTGTCCATTTTGGTCTTGGTCCGCATAGTTTTAAAACCCGTCACTAATATAATAATATTTAAGACTTTATTTACTTATATGCTTAATATTTTTCCCGTGTTTTGTCCATATAAAATTTGCTTATGGCGTCACATCCGGTCTACGGGTAAACAAGAAAATTAACTAGAAATAATAATTGGAATAGGAAAACAACAGTTTCATGTATATAGTCGATTAATAGGTCTAGAGAAGGACAGTTCACTATTTGATGACTGTATATAATTTGAATTTGATATTATACAAGTGACAATCAAACAGTTTATTAAAATGAACTTTATTGGATTATTGCTTGTACTTATACAGCTCATATGGTTCAAAACTGGAAACAGCGAATATAAAGATTCAACCTGTTGACTAAATCAAACACATTAATCATTTTTCATGATAAAAACAGAAGAAGATTGTTACATCAATATTTTTCGGGTGGCCATTAGCCATCTCGCAAATAATTGAACATTTTTTTTTTAAATTCCTAGGGATATTTGTAGATGCTTATCTTCGGGTACATACTTGGTAACTTGCTCATTGTACAATAATTTGCAAACCACACAGGAAATGTAAAGCGCACTAGGCAAGTCCAGTGCAACGAGCTCAGACTGAGAAGACTGCTGGTGAGGAGAATCGATCTCAGATCTCCTACGTGGAAACTAGTGGCGAAGCCAAGATTTTCATTAAGGGAAATCCAAATATAAAGAAATAAACTCACCAAGAAGTCAAGGGGTGTCATTATATAGTATATATACATATTATTTTTAAACATTACCAAGCTAAACAGTGTAATTTTCGGACGAAGGGTTGTCGGACACCCCTTGAGTGCATATGGCTCCGCCACTAATGAAAACCCAGTCACCCAACCAACTCAGCCAACCACTAAATTTTCACCATTGTTATTACTTGCAAATAAACAACTTATCCATTGAATAAGATGTTTTCGCCTATACTAGCTAGAATGTTTTTGAGTTACAAAATGTGATCCCTAGCAACTTTTATGTAGTATGTGAATATGCTATATTTGATTTTATATACTCAATTTTTTTTTTAAATCAGTGTTCGCATTCATTATTATATTAATATTCATATGCTAAATTTATCATTTTGTTGAAACAAAGTAATAGTATGAATTGTTATTCTGAATTATTATTTGATGCGAATATGCAACATTGTCCGATAATCCCCGTAGCAGATGTAGCTTATTAGTTAGTGGTTCAATCAGATCTAATATCTTTGACATGAGACTAGAATAGGTAAAGGATGGGTCGGGTTAGATATGATCATGTCAAAACGGGTAAAGCAAAAATAAATAAATTATTTGATTCAATCCGTATTTAATACGGATAAAAAATTATATGGATATTCATATTATCCATAACTTATTAGAATTAGTATTCTACCAAATTTGAGGAACCCTAATTTGAGGCTTTACCAAATTAAATCCATTAGTTATTCAATGATTATCCATTTTCTAAGTGGATAAATATGGCTCTTATCCATATTTGATATATTTTTTAAAAATTTCATTATCCAATCCATTTTTAATGAATAATATGGGTGGATAATTATTTTCTTTTAATCATATTGGTACTGCGTAATTATATATATATATATATATGAAGAAAATCGGGTACGAAAAGGGGGAGAGAATTACAAAGTGAGGTGAAAGTTTCACGGTAAAAATAAGTAGCCAATTAAATGGGATGATTCTCTAAGTTACGGGTTTCATATTTACTAATTATTGTAATTTTATTGAAATTTTACACATAGATTTAAGTAGGGGTGTTAATGGTTCGGTTCGACCGGTTATTTTATAAGATTTATACCATACCAATTTTTCGGGTATTCTATTATGTATAACCAAAATTAGACTTTTCGAAACCATCCCAATCATGTCGGTTTCTCTTCAGTATCGATACGGTTCGGTTATAGATTTATATAAAAACCTATGATTTCTTAAAAAGAAACCTAAAAATTGATTCGATGCAGTACGGTTCGATCGGTTTAATCGATTTTCAAATATCCATTGACACCCCTAAATTTAAGTTCACATCGTAAATATTAAGTTCAGACGTAAAGTTGAATCCGCCCGTTTATATGAAAAATACTAGGAGTAAAAGTTAAACAGTCCCATCGCTTCCGCAATTTCAACGCGTGCATTACCTTTTGTGACGTCTCAGAGAATTATTAAATTAAAACTTATAAGTTTCTTGTTGTGACAAGTAGCTAGTTAATGATCTTCAAGTCTATGCTTTTATGACATAAATAAATTTTGAATGTATAGATAGTTTTTTATATTGCAAATGGGGCCAAGTCTTCTTATATCCGAACTCGATAACAGTTATTCAAACAAAGATCAAACTAGTGACTTTTTGTAATAAGCTGAAATCCTCAAATCTTCTAAGATCTTGTTAAACATTATTTTATGTGAAAATATGTAAGCACCCACGTAATAACTTCAGTGTTATGAAATAAAAGCAATTTAGTAAAACACGAACAAGAAATAGAGATAGAGAGAAGGAAGAGATTTTCTTCTTCAATTGTGTGTATTTTCCTATCTATTACAAGGCCTTTATATAGACATGAAAAGTGAAGAAAATATGTCATGGAATATGTCATTGAACATAGAAAATATGTCATTGAATATGTCATTAACCATTTAAGAGAAAGATCATGGAGGAAGAGTAGACATCCACCATATTTTGATTTTTATCATAACACTCCCCCTTGGATGTCCATAAATAATGTGCCTCGTTAAAACCTTATTAGGAAAAAACCCTATGGGAAAAAAAATCCTAATGTAGGAAAAAGAGTACACATATTTAGAAATACGTCTTTTGGTTGCCTCGTTAAAAACCTTGCAAGGAAAACCCAATGGGACAAAACCTTGTAAGGGAAAAAAAGTACAACGCGTATTAACTCCCCCTGATGAGATCATCAGTTCACATCGTTGAGCCTTCGTATCCCAATCTTGTACACTAGTTTCTTGAAGGTTGACGCCGGTAGATATTTGGTGAACAAATCAGCCATATTATCACTTGAACGGATCCGTTGCACATTAATATCACCATTCTTTTGAAGATCATGTGTGAACAATAATTTAGGTGAAATGTGCTTTGTCCTAACTCCTTTATGAATCCTCCCTTTAATTGGGCAATGCATGTTGTATT